AAACTCTTTCCCTCAGAATATGAGTTTATTTACATAGGATCAAAAGCTTAATACATATACACCGGAAACTAATAACACCATATGTTAACTAACTGGAATTAAAATAAAAACTTAGGGACGCTTGGGTGGTTCAGTGGTTGAGCATCTGCCTTCGGCTCAGGGTGTGTTCCCAGGGTCCTGAGAGCGAGTCCCACATCAGGCTCCCCACAGGGAGCCTGCTTCTCCCTCTGCTTCTCTCTCCGTGTCTCTCATGAATAAATACATAAATCTTTAAAAAATAAATAAATAAAATAAAAACTTAAACTCAGTACATGTTGATGATGATGACTGCAAAAAGCATTAGTAAAACACTCTGCAGTTAGCATGGAATTAAGTGCTATGAAGAATAAAAGACATCCTTAGAAGACAAGATCCTTCTCCAAAAGATTGCAGTCAGTTGGAACATGAAATGCACCTAAGAGCATGTACTTCAGAGAACATGAACAGAAATCTAACAAAGAATGGAATTATTCAGTAGTTAAGTAGAAAACAAAACAGCCCGTGTGAAGTTTACTTGTAGATGGTCCATAAGGAGTTAACCATGAATTAGGAAAGGGACAGATCCTGAGCTGGGATAGCTAGAAAAATGGAATCCTCACTAACTTTGGAGGATACATAGATACAAACAGAAGACACACACACACTCCTGTAGAGGCCGAAAAAACATGCAGTGAAGGAAAAATAGTGAAGGCACTGGTCTGACTCTACATAGTTACATAGGGTTACACAGTTAACAATATCCTTAAGTGGGATCCCTGGGTGGCGCAGTGGTTTAGCGCCGGTCTTTGGCCTAGGGCGTGATCCTGGAGACCCGGGATCGAATTCCACGTCAGGCTCCCGGTGCATGGAGCCTGCTTCTCCCTCTGCCTGTGTCTCTGCCTCTCTCTCTCTCTCTCTCTCTCTCTCTCTCTCTCTCTGTGACTATCATAAATAAAAAAAATTTAAAAAATTAAAATAATAAAACCTAAACTCTAATTGTTTATAAATTCCATAGCCATTTATTATTCCTCTACCTTGTGGGCAGCACTGGGAATAGGACATAGGGAAAGAGGAAAAAAATACCGACTATAAATTAAATGAGCTAACATAGGCTTACTAGGCTAGCACTTTACATGTCTTATCTCACTTTATCTAAGTCAATCCCTCCAGCAAAACCAAACAAGCATTTTGTGCATTTTACATTTTTGAAATAGAGACTGAGTACCAGAGACACTGAGTAACTCATGCAAACTACACGGCTAGTATACAGCTTATAAACAATTTGAGACAAAAGATATAGTCATTCAAATAAGTAGTTACTGTGCACTCAGTGTAAAGGATACAAAGGAGAGGATGAAGACTATAGAAGTAATTATATGATTAATGAGAGCAAATAACTTTGGCAAGGATTATGATAACAAGCTTTACAGATTAATGTGACCAAATCTAAACTAGTGTTTTTCACCCTATTGCACATTAGAAACCAATGGGGGAGCTTTAAAAGAATCTGATGTTTGGATCCTATGCCCAGAAATTCTGATGTAGCTGATCTGAGGTATAGTCTGGGCTTTAGAATTTTAACAGCACAGATTCTAATGTGCAGGCAAGGTTGAGACTCTGTGTTCTAGAACAGTGCTTTGAGGCTTTAGAGATCATACAGATAACCTGGCGAGGCTCTTTTACTGAAGATTCTGATTCAGTAGGTCTGTGGTAGAGCCCAGATTCTTCATTTCTTTCCTATGCCTATGTGCTGAAATGGCAGCATGCATAAAGTACTAATGGAACCCAGAGGAAGGGGTGTTTCTAATTGCTTGGGGACAATGTGGATTAGGCAAAATAACTGATATCTCCCTGGCCTGAGCATGGGTTTTGGACTCAGGACAATACAATCTTTTCACACCAAAACAGATCTTTTTTTTTTTTTCCCTCCAGCAAAGTTAACTACCCTCTTGAATGCAACAGCATTCTCTGAAATCCCAGTTTTCACGACTCCATGCATCATCAGCTAGTTCTGTCCTTTTAACACAACCTCATAATTCAATTATACCAATTCTTAGATTACAGAGTTCCAATCCATAGTTCCCAGCACTTTTAATCTATATATCAATCTGTCAATCTATATATCAGTATCTATCACCTTCCTATAACCTTTTCTTCTTGCCTTCCAAAGATTCCATGACACATCATTAGCAATCACTTTATCTGCTTTCTCTCAATTGAATGTTCATTGAGAAAATCATACCACCATGCCAATCTGGACTCACTTTAAATTGAAAATAGGCACTCAGTCCTGCTGACAATATCACAATCTTTCCACAGTTCACCTTTTCACTTCAAAATATATCTCTGGTCTTCTCACTCCTCCCTCTTCTTACCCCCTTTTTTGCCTTACTCTTAGCTGAAGACCTCATCTCATTTTATTAAGAAAATGTATATCATCTAATAGGAACTACTTTATTCTCCCACCAATATACAAACATCTGCATCTGAATTCATCTTCTGCTTTTTCCTTCTTGTTAAAATGATGGAAATCTAGGTAATTTTCAAAGGCCCACTTATGCTTTGGATCCATTCCTTCATTCTCCCCTATAATTCCATTCCTGTAGGTATTTTCTTTTTCTCTAACATCAACAATTTCTGTACTACATCATCCCTACCACATCACTTATCTGCCAACACAACAACATTAACAAAAAGCTTCCCTTGGTCTGCTTAACCCACTCACCATCCTATTTCTCTGATCTTCATCCCCCACCCTTACCCCACCAGAATAACTCCAAGAAACCAACCAAAGAAACAAAACCTGAATCCATGTCCACACTTGTTCATCTTTTGTTCTTCAGTCTTTCTACCTCACTACACCTTGAAACTAGTCTTGCCAGAAACTAATGATTGCCATGTTGCCAAATCCATTGATCATTTCTGTGTCCTCACCACTTCCATGCAGCATTTGCTACAGTTGACCACTTCCTTTCACTTATAAAACTTCCTTCTCTTGACTTCTATGACATCAACTTCTTATCTCACAGGTTGTTCCTTCTCAGTCTCTTGCTGGCTCTTCATCCTCTGTCCAATTTTGAAATGTTGGAGCTTCTCATGCTCAGTTCTCAGTCTACAGTCTGCTTAGGTTATATCATGGAATCCCAAGGTTTTAGGTTTCATGTATAAACTCATAACTGCCAATTTTATGTCTCCAGCCTAGAATCAGACCAATATATCCATCTGTTTACTTGGCATTATCATTTGTATAATAGGTCTCTCAGACTTGATTATTGTCAATGCCACTGATGAAAGACCACTCGGAATAAAACTATTGTTGAGCAAGGTGGGTTTATTGTTTCAGTAGGTGAGAATATACACCATGGAGAACCTTGGGCGTTTCAGTAAGGGGGCGTTAGAAATTTGGACTTGTTATATGACTAGGGAAGGATTCAAGGGAAAGGGGCTTTGATTTGGATTGGAACCTACAAGGAGGCAGGAGTAATTTTATAACTATATTTTAATAAGTATTATCTAGAAGGACTGAGTATTATCTATTGGGCTGAGGCTAAGACTATAATTGGAAAAAAAAAAAAAGCAGCAGTCACTCATATCAGCCAGGATAGGAAAATGTTTGCTCATTTTGTGGCTCAGACAATGTTTATGTTTTGCCTATGTTCAGGTATGATTACAGATACAATGATAAAAATAACTTTTATTTTTGTCTTGATTTATCATGGTCATAGAGTGGCTTTGTCTGATGTTGATGTTCTGTGAATTTACACCTCCCCTTATCACTTCCCCCAACATACCAAGTTCATTGCTACCTCTGCACCTTCTCTATCCTTTGCCTGGTAGTCTCTTTCCCTATTGGTCCCATCATGGTACCTCCTTTCTAGTCACTAACACATCCTTCTACTTTATTTCCTTCAGAGCACTCAGCAATATCTGGAAGAAATTTGTTCATTTGTTCATTTCTCTGTTGTTGCTTCCTTACTGGACTTTTGCTTCCCAAGGGGATGGTGTTTTTCTGTGGTGTTCACGGGTGCGAGGCAACCCCATCCTCTAGAAATCTGCCTTACAGCCCAGGGGGGCTCGATAAACCTACACTGACTGAACGAATGTTTGAACGTCGCTGGGCTCATTTCTGCAACAGAGTCCTACACAACAAGCAATTGCATTTTTTGTTTTAATGAAGTAGGGCATTCCACAAAAAGAAGTGAGAAGCATGGGGTCAGGAAAGTGACCACCTTTAATTCATAGTATGTGCCCAGCGTCTAGTGTGACCACGGTAGGTCAGGATCTGCTCTTTTCTAGAACCTGAGGGTCTGCTGTCTCTGAATTACCTGAAAATAGTGCTGGACCCTTAACCGTACGGTTCACCTCTTTCTTTCTTTCTTTCTTTCTTTCTTTCTTTCTTTCTTTCTTTCTTTTTTTAGCAAAGAATTTTGTTTTTTTAAAGCAAAGAATTTTGTTTTTTATTTTTTTAAAAATTTTTATTTATAATAGTCACAGAGAGAGAGAGAGAGAGAGGCAGAGCCACAGGCAGAGGGAGAAGCAGGCTCCATGCACCGGGAGCCTGACGTGGGATTCGATCCCGCGTCTCCAGGATCGCGCCCTGGGCCAAAGGCAGGCGCCAAACCGCTGCGCCACCCAGGGATCCCGAATTTTGTTTTTTTAAAGCAAAGAATTTTTTTTTTTTTTTTAAATCAAAGAATTATTCCCGGGCTTTATTTCCGTAACCGCTCGGCCAGCCAACCACCGCCTAGGGGAAGAAACCCAACCCTCTTGCGCAAGCGCCCGGCCGGCGATTCCGCGACTCGGAGCGCTTTACAGTGCGCATGAGCAACTCGAAGCGGCGAGGCGGGAAGTGCTGCGCAGGCGCGTTTGGCCGACTCGCTAGGTGGGGAGCTCTTGGAGGCGGCGACCCGGGCATCTGGGGAGCCACAGAAGTCGTATTCCCTGAAACTGTGAGTTTCCGACGGTTTGTCCCATGGCGCGGGATTGTGAGGGATTAGGAACGAATTCTGGATCGTGACTTCGGTGTTGTAGCCGCGCAGTAAGCCCACCCCGCTCCTTCGGACCCCACAGACCCGCGGCGGGAAAGGCGTGCGCCTGCGCGCTAAGCACCCCGTCCGCTCTCGGGTCTGAGGGGGGAGGTCGTTCCGGGCTGAGCTCGCGGCCCGCCCTCCCCGGAGGAGCCCATTCATTCCCTCTTCTCTTCCTTTGCTCGGCGCTCGCGGCCAGAGTCGGATCAGCTCTCCGTCGGCTTGCATGAGCCCTGCCACGGGCCTCTTGGCGCTCCCTTTGAGGAGTCAGAACGATTTCCCCCTTCAGCCCTCTCCCCGGGGTCAAGCCTCTCCCCCCACCAGGCCTCGCTCGCCCTCCGGCCGGCTGGCCCCGGGCTCTGCCGCCTCAGTTCCCCCCAGCACCTGCCCCCTGCCGCCAGCCGCCGCCGAGGAGGCTCCCCTGACTAGGACAGTGCCCCCTCGTCCCCCTGCCTGTGTTTCTGGAAGGGGAAAATGAAGCAAATGGAATCCTTAGAAATAGCCCACGGGTTTCCCACCTTTGGGGATTTACACATATGGTGGCTTCTAAATGTTTGTCCCTTGGGGGACAGTGGCATCTTTCGGTGCTTGGTTCAGTAGTGGGTGATTTAAACTTCTCGTGGTCTCCAGTATTCTAATTTTCGCAGCTGCTTTGCTCCCCCTGTGGACATGACCCCTTGGCTGGCATTTTGCATCCCAGTTGTTTTGTGATGGAGGCGTCTTTGGGGATTCACATGGATGAACCAATGGCTTTTTCTCCCCGGCGTCGTGACCAGGTTCAGGTGGATGGCTCGTTAAAAAAACATGAGCAGAATTTTAAACTACCAGGTAGGTGTTTAATTCCAAGGACGTGCAGGCTACAGTTCTGTGATCTTGATTATTTTTCCTTAAAAAGGAACTTCCTGAATGGTGAAGTGAGTTGTATGTTTATATGGGAATATTTTTTACAAATAAGTAAAGCAGGGGGATCCCTGGGTGGCTCGGCAGTTCAGCGCCTGTGGCCCAGAGCGTGATCCTGGAGACCCGGGATCTGGTCCGCGTCGGGCTCCCTGCATGGAGCCTGCTTCTCCCTCTGCCTGTGTCTCTGCTCTCTCTCTCTCTCTCTCTCTCTCTCTCTCTGTGTCTGTGTTTCTCATGAATGAATAAATAAATAAAATCTTAAAAAAAAAAACCCAACAAATCAATAAAGCATCCTGAGATCTAGATTTAGGATTGGAGTGCATTTTAGGATTACAGTCCATCCATGTCATTTTACAGATGATGTTGCTAAGGTCTAAATATTGGTGCTTATCCAAGAACACAGTTGTTGATGCCCAAACTAAAATTTCTTTTCTCCTAGACCTGTGTTCTTATCTCTACACACTGTATTGCATTAAACTTGGATTTAGAAGTCAACGTTGGAGGGGTTTTCACTTAAAGTATTGAAAAGCAGAATTCACTGACAAAAATAAATGGTTGTAGCAATAGTAAAGCACTGTATCTCAGTGTAACATCCTGAAGTGTTGTTTGACCCTGAAGTGAGAAGGAGAGGTGCAAATGAGACCTGATCTTGTACACTAAAATACACACCTTCATTCCTGCTCTAGGAGTGTCTGGGACATAACAGGCATTTAATAAATATTCCTTAAATAGTGGAGTTCCAATTGACCTTTTTTTTTCCCCCTTAAAAGGTAGCTAAATCTTCTTTTCCATCTTTGTTTTAAACATATTTAGTGCTTGCCCAAAAGATACTACTTTTGACCTTCTATCCATGACATATATTTATCCAAAATAGATTTTAACAACACCCTGGAAAAATGACATTACATGTTTTTGCTTCTTGACTAAAACTAAACTATTCTTTGGTATCAAAATGAGTACCCTTTCTGATGTTCCTATTTTTGGTAGTGAAAGCTGCTATTATTCCACTTACCTATGCTTAAAACTTTAGAGATGTCATAGATTTGTTTTTTGTTGTTGTTTTGGTTTTTAAAGATTTTATTTATTCATTCATTCATTCATTCATGAAAGACAGAGAGAGAGAGAGAGAGAGAGAGAGAGAGAGGCAGAGACACAGGCAGAGGGAGAAGCAGGCTCCATGCAGGGAGCCGGACATGCTGGGACTCCATCCCAGAACCCCAGGATCACGCCCTGGGCTGAAGGTGGCGCTAAACCGCTGAGCCACCCGGGCTGCCCTTTCACTTAGAATTGTAATTTTCCCCATATCCAGTAACCCAGCTTTATCTTTTTTTTTTTTTTTAATGTGTTTGGCATTGCTTCTTTCCATTCCCACTTCCACTACAGTCATTCATTCCCTTACACTTTGCTCCTGAATTGCAATTAAGTTTCATATCTAAACTACCTGCTTTCACTTCGCTTTCATCCTACAGTTCATCTGGTACACTGCTACTAGAACAATCTTAAAATGCTGAAGTTTTGTGGCTTTTATGTAACAGTTTTGAACCTTATAGGCAGTATCTTTGATAATTCATAAAACATCCTGAAATTTTAGTCATAACTTTTTTTAATGACTCTTGGTAAAAGCTAAGGTTATATCAAAAAATAGCTTTAGTCAGGAGTAAAGCTGATGAAATCCAGGCCCATAACTGTTTCATGATCTAATATGATTTACTTTCCCTTGATGGAATAACTTTTGAATGGTGGGAACTTTTTTTTTTTTTTTAATTTTTATTTATTTATGATAGTCACACACAGAGAGAGAGAGGCAGAGACACAGGCAGAGGAAGAAGCAGGCTCCATGCACCGGGAGCCCGACGTGGGATTCGATCCCGGGTCTCCAGGGTCGCGCCCTGGGCCAAAGGCAGGCGCTAAACCGCTGCGCCACCCAGGGATCCCGGTGGGAACTTTTTATACATCTTTATATTCCCAGAACCTAATAGTGTGTTGCACATAGTAGGTGCTTGAGAATACTTGAATGAGTGGTTTAATGCAAGGGTTTTTTTTTTTTTTAAGATTTTATTTATTCATTCATGAGAGACAGAGACAGAGAGAGAGAGAGAGAGAGAGAGAGAGGCAGAGACACAGGCAGAGGAAGAAGCAAGCTCCACGCTGGGAGCCCGATGCTGGACTTGTTCCGGGTCTCCAGGATCAGGTCCTGGGCTGAAGGCAGGCGCTAAACCGCTGAGCCACCCAGGCTGCCCTAACGCAAGGATTTAAGTAAAATATTTAGTGTAATGGATGAATAATGATCTTTTGTTTTGGGAGATTTGTCAACTTTGTATAGCTTTTTGATAAAAATTATACTTAAAATTTAGAAATGATAGAAAACCAAAATAAGGAAATAGTATCTCACTATACAAATATTGCCACTGTTACATTTTGTTACAGTCCTTTAGTCTTCCTTTCATACAGCGGTACATAAAAAAAAAAAAAATTAGGATTGTAACCAATTTATTCCTAATCCTTATTAGCAGTATATAACCTGAACACTTCCTATATATTTAAATAATCTACAGATTGATTTAAGTTGACTGCCTAATGTTTCATTGCATAGTATGCTATGATTTAATTACCTTTTTTGTTGAACTTTTGTATTTTCCATTTTTTCCTATTAAGAAAAATGCTCCAACGAGCAATGTACTGGGCATGGTATTAAATGTTTATGTTCCTCTGTATTGTTGAACTATACCATAAGGCATGCATTTGGTGTGTTATATGGATGCTCTTAGCTCATACTACTCAAGTGGGTTATAGGTGCCATATGATATGCCTGGGACAGATCTAGTTTATGCTTATTGTCACACTGTCATTATTAGTGCCCCATTTTCACTCTCAAAGAGTGCCTCAATTTGGACTAAATTATATGATCTTCCTAGTTTAAGGAATGTAAGTCAGGCAGTACATGAAGCTCCAGAATAAGCATCACATATGTTCCTAGAATGTACGTTTTACTCCTTGGTAATTGAAAACATTTCATTTATATGATGAATATTAAATGTTTATTATGTGCAATTACTTCTCTAGGTACTGGGATAAATCAGTGCATACAACAGAAAAAAACCATTGCCCTCAGTCTAAGGGAAAGATAGACAATAAAAGAAATAGTATGTTCAAAAGTAGTTAGTACTGTGAAGAAAATATAGAAGGGAAGTGGAGATAGGAAGTGTTAGAAGGGGACATTTGATTTTTAAGAAGTATAATTGGTCACAGAAGACTTCACATTTGACCTAAGACTTTAAGATGGTAGAGAGCTATGTAGGGGAAAGCATTCCAGGCAGAGGAAACAGCAAGGGAGATGGCCCTCAGATGGGAGTGTGCCGAGCAAGGCGGTCCTTGTGACTAGAAGCTGGAGGGTGATGGGAGTGATGACAGAGAGGTGTGAGGAGAAGAGGTAGTTCCTTAGCTTTTATATGAAGCAAGTTATTAAGCTCCTATGGGTTGAGCAAAATAGTGATACGATGATGTACCTCTCACAGGATTACTCTGGCTGTGTTACAAATAGATGACACAGGCCAGCAATGATGAAAACAGGGAGTATAAGGAGGCTCTTGCTGTATTAAAGCCATTTGGGTATATTATGTAGCAGGAAAAAAATTTTTACTTAAAATTTCAAAGCAGAAGCCTAGACCTTTATGTTTAAAATATAGGCATTTAGGGCAGCCCTGGTGGCTCAGCGGTTTAGTGCCTGCCTTCAGCCCAGGATGTGATCCTGGAGACCCAGGATCCAGTCCCATGTCAGGCTCCCTGCATGGAGCCTGCTTCTCCCTCTGCCTGTGTCTCTGCCTTTCTCTCTCTCTCTCTCTCTCTCTCTCTCTCTCTCTGTCATGAATAAATAAATAAAATCTTTTAAAAAAATAGGCATTTAAATAATTTTTTGGCTTATAGACTTTTCAGGGTCTTGCCCTAATCCTCAGAGTATATATATTCATTCATCTCTGTCTTCATTAGTATTTTCCATCGTTTAACATTAATGCTCTCTTCTGCTGTTTACTCTCATCTCCATTTCAGAATTGAGGATTTTGCCTTCAGTTTGGTTGTCAGAAAGTTTTACGGTTGTTTAAAAATGTCAAAGTTGTTGTATAGTGACTGGAAATTAATACAAACATATTTTGGGTTTTATAAAGATAGGTAAGTACGTAGCGGGTTAGTAGTGAGTGATTTGGAAGCACATTGAGCTAGATAGTCATTCACATGACTTGTGCATTACAGTAGTTCTTTATTACATAAAATCTCTCTCTGGTGATTTCTAGTAGTTAACTAGCATCTCTACCACTGACTGCCAGCTCATGCTACTACAGAAGGAAGTTCCAAAATACGGAACTCAGTAGACTTGGAAGTAAAGTTCGTTTAATATGACCCTTTTGTTTGCAGGTTAAGAAACTGGACATTAATGTGGTTTAGTGATAACCATTGAATCTAGGCTTTCTTCTATATCAACATTCCAATAGTACTTTTTGTGATAATGAAAATGTCTCTGTTGTCACCTGTGGCTAGTGTGACTGAGGAACTTTTTAATTTTCTAAAATTTTAACTGAAATTTAAATAGTCACATGAAAATAGTAGACACACAACTCTTTATCATACTACTACAAAGCTTTTGGTATTGATCATATATACACATATGATATAACATGCACACAAACTTTATTAGTTTGATATGTTTAGTAATAAAAAGACTACAAACAGGCTTCTTAACATATTTCATCATATACAAATACCATTGATTGTTAGATATACCATTTTATGTACTATGCAAAAATGCTAAAAAAAATGCCGCCAGTTATACTATAACACAATGCTTTCTTATCACTTAGAATTTTTATTTTATACTTTTTGAAAGAGTTCTTTTAGATCTAACTGAATAATTCTTAAATTATTAATTAAATTACATTAAAAGGAATTAAAATTAAAAAGGAATACGAATATTTCACATCTTTCTCTCCTGAGTCAATTTTTGTACTCCAGACTCTTTTTTTTTTTTTTTTAAGATTTTATTTATTTATTCATTCATGAGAGACATAGAGAGAGAGAGAGAGGGAGGCAGAGACACAGGCAGAGGGAGAAGCAGGCTCCATTCAGGGAGCCTGACGTGGGACTGGATCCCGGGTCTCCAGGATCACGCCCTGAGCCGAAGGCAGGTGCTAAACCGCTGAGCCACCCAGGGATCCCCTGTACTCAGACTCTTTGATATCCTATTCCCCCCCCCTCACAATATTGTTCTCTATACATTAGTGATGCAGAATTTCTTTGAAGTTTATCTTTTTAGAGCCTTTTTTTTTTTTTTAAGATTTACTTATTTATTTATTCATGAGAGACAGAGAGAGAGAGAGAGAGGCAGAGACACAGGCAGAGGGAGAGGCAGGCTCCGTGCAGGAATCCCGTCGTGGGACTTGATCCCGGGTCTTCAGGATCACGCCCTGGGCTGAAGGCGGCGCTAAACCGCTGAGCCACCTGGGCTTCCCTTTTAGAGTCATTCTTAATGGGAGCTCAATTACATGGAGCTAACCTATGTTTGATTTCTCCTTCACTACCTTTACCATGTCTCCCTAAAACCATTTGCTCGTAAGGGTTAAATGTGAATGCTCCTTTATGATTTCTTGGATTTCTTTAAGGTACTAATACCTGTTCTGTAAGTTTTGATGCTGGCCAACATTAATTGTAGGTTGCATCCCAATTTCAGATTTTTTAAAATGTGTTTCAGAATCAAGGAAGTGTAATATAAAATTGAACATATCATTTTACCCTGTGACACTGGAATTTGAAACTGGTTGGAATTTCACTCATTAGGAAAGATTGCAATTGACTGTGGCAACTGTGACTGCTAGAAAGCTGGCTTTTCCCTTAGGCCTTGGTTTTGGTTTTTCTTTTTCTTTTCTTTTTTTTTAAATTTATTTATTTATGATAGTCACAGAGAGAGAGAGAGAGAGAGAGAGAGAGAGAGGCAGAGACACAGGCAGAGGGAGAAGCAGGCTCCATGCACCGGGAGCCCGACGTGGGATTCGATCCCGGGTCTCCAGGATCATGCCCTGGGCCAAAGGCAGGCGCTAAACCGCTGCACCACCCAGGGATCCCGGTTTTGGTTTTTAGAATGAAGTAGTGTGGTAGCTGGTAAATGGTTGCTACTGTCTTTGGCTTCACTCTTTTGTAACTTCTAAACTTTTGGGTTTTTTTCCCTACAGCTCTCTCTCAGTGCCCGTAATGATAGTAATAATTTATTCATTGAACAAACATGGCAGGCACTGTTCTAACTAGGAGCTGAATGTACGGTGGTAAATTATATAAACAGAGAACTGTACTGGTGGAGCTTATATTCTGGTGGGAGGAGGCAGAGAGCAAACAAACAGGATGATTTTATAGTGGATAAGCACTCCAAAGACAATGAGCAGGGTAATGTGAGTAATGAGAGGAATGGTATTTTAATTAGGCTGTCAGAGAAGACTGACCATTGAGCCAGCCACATGAAACTATTTGGGAAAAAGATTTCAAGTAGAGGGAATAATAAAAGCAAAAGTGCTGAAGAAATAACAATAACTACAACAATAAGAATTACCACTGTCTTTTATTTAATATTTACTATGTGCCAGGCATTGTGTTAAAAGCTTCTCTTGGGTATATTATTTCATTTAATCCTCAGTATGTCAGTGGCATGGTATAGTTATTGCCCCTTCGCTGTAGATGAAGAGACTAAGGCTCAAAGCAGTAAATTGTGTGCTGCCTGTTAAATATTGGAGCCAGGATTTTAATTTAAGCCTCCCATCTCCCAGACTGATAACAAATTACTGTTATATTCTTGCCTCTGGTATTGAATGAAACTCATGAACCTTCTCCAGTTCCCCTGTGAAGTAGATGGTAAAGTTAGTTCTTCCCATGCTTAGATGGATTGATATAAGATGGATTGAAAGAATACTGGACTAGATCTTCTTGGCCTGTTATTTAGTTCCAGTTCTTTTTTTTTTTTTTAATTTCATTTGAGAGCCAGCACACACACAAGAGCACAAGCAGCCGGGAAGGTCAGAGGGAGAGGTAGAAGCAAGACTCCCTGCTGAGCAGGGAGCCTAGTGATGTAGGTGGGGCTTGATCCCAGGACCCCAGGATCATGAGCTGAAGGCAGACACTTAACCACCTGAGCCACCCAGGCACCTCTAGTTTCCAGGTCTTAATGTTGTATTTCCTCCCTTCAAATTCATCCTCTACTTATTTTTCTGCTTAAAAGTTTTCCATAGCTTTCACTTGCATTCTCTGTCTTTCCCTTCTTCAGCCACATTGAATTTCATTACTTCCTCACCTGCCTCTCCCCAGAAAATAATCCATGTCTTTTTCCTTTTGTATGTCTTTGCAGACATAGTTCTTTCTTCCTAAAATTCCTCATCACTTTTTCTACTTGGTGCTTCAAAACACAGCTTAACTGTTACCTGAAGCTTCCTGGTACCTTCAGATGTGTTTGTTCCCCTCCCCCTCCTGCTATCTAGTAATATGTGCATTGCCTGTATTACTACAATTACTGTTTTGTATTCAGAGTGAGGTTAATCTGTTTTTTTTCAGTTAGACTAAGCTCTAAGAGAACAGGGGCTGCACCAAATTTTTTTTTTTAACTTACCCATCACTGAGCATTTTTAAAATACAGTGTTTATTAAATGGACAAATGATTTCACTTCCCTGAATAGGGTTTTCTTAACTGAAAATCAGGATAATTTCTGTTCTGCCATTATCTCAGTGCTGTTGTGAAGATCTGAAAAGATAATACAAGTGAAAGCGATTTGATAGCGTCTTAAACCATTATATATACTATTCAGATTATTATAACTTAAAAAGTAGCTGATGATTGGTTTAGATGTTGTAATAAAATCCGATGGCTTTTAAATATGTAGCTTTCTTTTTATATCCAGTAGTTTATCACACCTGATTTTACTGCCTCTCCTTATTTTTGAACATGTATATTTTTGTGGAGAGCTTATATTTATTTAAAAGTAGAAATTTATCATATTTGCTCTCAAGGATAGAGGATACTATTGATAATTGGGACAATTCTTTAAAAATATTTCTAACATTCCTGAGAGTTTGGTAGACTTTTCTCTCTGAAGGTATACTATGACTATTCAATATATAAAACTTTCCCAAGCTTTTAAGATTTTGTGTCTTTGGGAGAGAGAAATATTTTCAAAAAGATTGCATTGTCCTTGTCATGCCATCTAGTGATCGCAGGACAAATTGTTTAGTTTTTTTTTAAATTTAGCTTCTTTATTGTGTTGTATTCTATACAACGGCAGTGTATCTGTTAGTTTGTAATTCCAGAGTAATAAAAATTCAGTGTGTGTGATTCTAGGACTTACCAGTTTTACCTGTTTGTTCAAGAAGGTGTGTGTGTTATAGCAATCTAGCAGGGTTTTAAATATTTTTACCATGATTTTAAGATTTATTATAGCTATGTTTTAATTTGTAATTTACTCTTGTTTTAGAATTTATTTCATTGAGTTTAAAGTATAAAATACACTCATTAATTATAACTATAAATTCTTCCTTGATAGGTGTTAAAAAAGATATCGAGAAGCTTTATGAAGCTGTACCACAGCTTGGTAATCTGTTTAAGATTAAGGACAAAATTGGAGAAGGTAATTTAGAGATCTACTTTATTTATAAGTTTCTTTTCCTTTGTATAATCTTGATTTTCATTACTATTTCTTATTGAAAAGTATATCCTTTTAAAAATATTAAGAACATGGTCATATTACTAATTATGATATCAGGTTTTCTTTTTTCCTGGAAAGAATGAAAGAATAAGTATTTACAGTAAAATGAACAGTCCTGTTTTAATCTTTATGCTGTTATACTATTAAAAGTATTGGTATACTAATATATCATTAATGATAATTATTAAAAATGAAAATTTCTAAATGCATATGGGAGAGTTTGATCAAGGGAAGACACCTTTTCCTTTCTCCATTATAGTCAGGTAGAACTGTATGTTGAAACATTTATGAAACTTAAGGTGGCAAAATGATGAAAATAAAGTGGTACAATATTTATGAGAGAGTATTGGGGCACCTAGGTGGGTCAGTTGGTTAAATGTTTGCCTCTTGGTTTTGGCTTAGGTCATGATCTCAGGGTCATGGGATTGAGCTCTGCACTGGGCCCCTGGGTCTGTGGGGAGTCTGCTTGAGATTATCTTCCCCCTACCCTCTACCCTCACCAATAAGTAAGTTTAAAAAAAAAAAGAAAAAAGATGGTCAGTATTAAAATAAATGTCATTAAGAGACTGGCAGTCTTGTTGGCTGAATGAAGGGTGAATTTATGAAGTCAATAAGAAGGTAAAAGATAATAGAAGTTTTTGATGGCTATGTTGGGAAATGCCTAATTAAAAACCAAAAAAACCTTCCAATTACTTCATTGCTTTTCACAATGAAAAGTATCAGATAAGAAAAGCCTAGGTCATTGGGAGCAGAAGAATTAGAAGATGAGATGATTTGGGATGCAAGAAGTAGTTCTTTACATCTTATCCTTACCTTTTTTGAACACTAACTTAGTGTTCAAAAATTCTGTTCTGGAATCCATTTGTCCTAACAAATTGATAGTTATTCCTGGAGTGGGGGAAGACAGGAGGATGGTCTAAGTTTAGAAAATACAGTACTTACATATAGCTCCCTTTTGGTTATTCATGATGTACTTTTTTTTTTTTTTTTAAAGATTTTATTTATTTATTCACGAGAAACAGAGAGGCAGAGGGAGAAGCAGGCTTCATGCAGGGAGCCCGACTTGGGACTCGATCCCAGGTCTCCAGGGTCATGCCCTGGGCCAAAGGTGGCATTAAACCGCTGAGCTACCCAGGCTGCCCTCAAACACATTAAAGCTCTGGAAATTTTTGTAGGAAATTTTTGTAGTAAAGAAATATATCGGGCAGCCCCGGTGGCGCAGAGGTTTAGCGCCGCCTGCAGCCCAGGGCATGATCCTGGAGACCCGGGATCGAGTTCCATGTCAGGCTCTCTGTATGGTGCCTGTGTCTCTGCCTCTCTCTCTCTCTGTCTCTATGAATAAATAAAATTTAAAAATTAAAAAAAAAATTATCAATTTGTTTTAACTCCGTATTTCTCAAATTTAAATGGCCACCAACTCCTTTCTGTTTTGTTTAATGCTAAATTTAAAAGCATAGATGTTTTTGTCTTTTTCCCCAAATCCTATAAATATTTCTGCTTCTAATAGACCTATATCCAAATGTTAAAGTCATTTCAAATGACAGTATTATAGAAAAATACTAGAATGGATTATGACCACGGAAATTTTTTTTTAAGATTTTATTTACTTAGTCATGAGAGACAGAGAGAGAGGGGCAGGGCAGAAGGAGAAGCAGGCTCCATGCAGGCAGCCTGACATGGACTCGATCCTGGGTCTCCAGGATCACACCCTGGGCTGAAGGCGGCACTAAACCGCTGAGCCACCCGCCTGCCCATGACCATGGAAATATTTTGTGCTATCCCAGGCAAACAGATTTACTCTAGAGCTTTGGTAAATTAACATACCCTATAAAGAACTGAGAACAGTAAGAATTTATTAAAAATTGAAAGTTAGGTATATTTATAAATGTTGTTACTCTTTATGTTTAATATAATGAAGTATATTAATGATAGATTAGGATAACTTTATGGGTTCCAAACAGTTTTTAGGATCTGTTTTAGCATCATTTCATTAGCATTTAAAGAAACCAAATACTGAAAAATCTAATAAATTGTTTTACAGGCACTTTTAGCTCTGTTTATTTGGCCACAGCACAGTTACGAGTAGGACCTGAAGAGAAAATTGCTCTAAAACACTTAATTCCAACAAGTCATCCTATAAGAATTGCAGCTGAACTTCAGTGTCTAACAGTGGCTGGGTAGGTAATATAAAGATATTTTAATTGAACCGGCTATATATAATTTTTAAGAAGTATCTAACAGATGATGAGAATATTCATGAATTAGACATTTTTCAGACAGGTGTTTGCAATTTGGTAGCACTTTTCCTGTAACGTTGGAATGGTTAATTAAATTTATAATTTTAGGGTGGATTACCCTTGGGGCCAAGCTCGACTTCCTGTTCTCTTACCACTTTTTCTAATTTCCTGCCAGATCATAACCCATGGTCTAGATATTTTTTAAAATGTAGTGAATTCATATTTCACATCTCCCCAGCCATTGACAGCCTCATCTCTTACTTTATTTTGAACAACAGAAACATCTGGCATGTCTTCCACATTGATCTCACTCTTCTAGGTCATTCTCCCTCTACTGTCATCCCTTTTCCAGCTGCTCCATTGTCTTTGCTGCCTTTCCCAGCCAGACTTCCCAAAAATGATCTACATATACTGTTTTCACTTCCACACCCTACCTTCACTACTCACAGTATCTGCTGTTCTCTATGCTAAACTGAAACTACTTTAGATAGCGTTAACCAGGACTTCCGTTTTGCCAGGTTTGTCTTTTCTCTTCACATGAACCCTAGGCAGTGTTTTGATTTAAACCATTGTCTTTCGTCTTTTGACTTCTGTACTGCCACATACTCCTTGTTTTCTCTGTGCTTTATTTGGCCTTTCATTTTTAATATCCTTTTGCCAGTTCTTCCTCATCTACCTGATATCTAAATGTTGGAGTTTCTTGGTGCCTGATCTTGGGCTTTTTTGCTCTGACCTCTTCTCTGTATTTCCTTGTGGCTTTAAATGTATGGTAATGATTCCTGTAAGTATATATCTTGCCTCAGACCTCTTATCTATAGATTTGTATACACCCACCTGCTGATTTGACATCTATTTGAGTACCTAATAAATAGTTCAAGCCTAATATTCTGTAAACTAATTTTAATACTCCTTCGCACAAAAAACCCCTATTTCAACAGCCTGTTTTTGTCTGCTCATCTCAGCATCTATTATCAAATCTTGGCCATTTTGGATCCAAAATATTGTCTAAAAACCTATCCATGTTTTTCTGTCTTCTCAACCATACCTCAGACCAAGCCTAGATTACTAAAATAGCCTTCTTTTCTTTCCCCCTGAATCCTATGGTCACAAAACAGCCAGAGTGATCTTTAAAATATAAAAATTTGTATGTATATAATATAAATAGTATACTATTAGTTCCATCACTTAAAATCCTTTAATGGTTTCCCAGTGTCCTTTGGGAAAAAAAAATCCAACCTTATCCTATGCCATTCTTCCCACCTCCCTTTCTCTGTGTTAGTATCTTCAAATTTGTTTCACGCTTTCTCATCTCAGTTTCACTACCCATACTGTTCTCCAGTAAGACCTCTCCCAATCTTTGCATGCTGACCCCTATTCTGATCTGACCAGGAGTGGCACCACTTCAAAGATGTCTTCTGAGGGGCACATCAGGTGGCTCAGTCAGTTAAGCATCTGACTCTTGATTTCAGCATGGATCTTGATCTCGGGGTCCTGAGTTCCTTTGAGAGTGGAGCCCACTTAAAAACAAAAAACAAAGATGTCTTCTGAATTAAATTAGATTCACTTGTTCGTGTCACAGCACCTTTTGATCTCTTTCAAAACCCTCATAACCTGTCATGTTACCTTATATGTTATTGTTCATTAGATAGTAAACTCCATGAGGGCAGATACCACATTAATTTTAATTCACCTTCCCATTCCTAGTATCTAACATGGTGTCTACCAAATAATTGTATTTATTAAATACTAAATATTTATTGGATGAATGAACAAGCCTTTTTCTTTGTTTCACCCTTCTGTATATTAGAGAAGACAGGAGGATGAGTTGGCCTAAGACATAATTACATACATTCTAATTAGTCACCTGAATAAAATTGTTTCTTTTTCCATAAATATTTTTCTCTACCACTTCCTTTCCATGTACTTCAAAAAAGTACATGCTAAAAAAAGTCTTTATCTGGTCTTGCTTCCTTTCTAGCTCCCACACTGGTTTTTCTTCTTTTCTTTGCCAGATATTTCAGGCAAATTGTATGTTCTGCTTCTATTGTATCCTGTTTTCCCTCCTTAAGTCCTATTTGGCCTCTTCCTTTCCACTTAAATTGCTCTCTGAAAAATTACCAGTTAATTCCTCTTTGCCAAATTAAAAGCCTTCCCTCAGTCCTTATTCTCATGACCTCCGTACTATTTACTACTTTGTTTAAAATTCCTCACCTGGGTGGCATCTCTTTCTGGGCTTTCTGCTCCTTCTTCCATATTTTGCCCTTCAACTCAAGACTTTTCCAAGACTCAAATTTTTTCTTTTTCTCAAATCTTTCACAGCCTTTAGGTATCACTTTTCTGCAAGTATTGTCACTGACCTCTCACTTCTCATATAAGATGTATTCTTTATCTAGAAATTTTTATTAGAATGATGTCTTGGTTTTCAGTGCTTTTTTTCCACATATTTTGTTGGTATCCATGTTTTACTACTTGGACTCAAAACCATGGAAGTCAACTTTACCCTATTTTCCCTATCTTTTATGATTCAGTATAGCAGAGCGGTTAAGAGCATAGATCTAATTCAAGTCCTGCCTCCATGACTTACTAGTTTAGTATCCTTGGGAATGTTCCTAAGCCTCTCTGTGTCTCAATTTCCATTTTATACACAGGGGGAGGAAATAATAATAGCATTGTCCCAATAGGGCTGTTGTGAGGATTAAGTGAATTAGTTAATAAATGTAAAATGCTTGCTTAGATCAAAGCTTGACATATAGTGAATGCTCAATAAATGTTAGCTATAATTTTTTAATCAACTTACTTATTACTATTTTATTGGCTACTAAAGCTTATTAATTCATTCTTGTTATTTATGTTGTCCTCATTCTGCCACTTCCCCAATTAAAACTCTTAATTCTCTGATGTTTGAATTATAGTAACCTCATAACTGGTGCTTTGTAAAAAAACTATCTTGTACAAGTCACTTATAAACATGTATACTATCCCACAAATTGGTGGTTTTAAGTAGTTTTCTAGCATTATTTATGCATTGCAAAAATTTCATTTTTAAAGAAACTGAGCATAAAGTTTCGTTTGACCTTTTCTCTAAAGTTCATTATGCATTTTTCCACTAGGGGGCAAGACAATGTCATGGGAGTTAAATACTGCTTTAGGAAAAATGATCATGTGGTTATTGCCATGCCATATCTGGAGCATGAGTCTTTTTTGGTAGGTTTTAATACTTCCTTACTTCTTATTGGCTAAATATTTAATTGAAAACAATTTTATGACCTTATTCATAACTTTATTTTAGGACATTTTGAATTCTCTTTCCTTTCAAGAAGTACGGGAATATATGTTTAATCTGTTCAAAGCTTTGAAACGCATTCATCAGTTTGGTATTGTTCACCGTGATGTTAAACCCAGCAATTTTTTATTTAATAGGCGCCTGAAAAAGTAAGTATGAAAAGTTACCAGAAAATACTTATAACTTGAATGAATTTGTGCTATGGGGTTCATCTCGAAGATACAGAACATACTGCAACAACTATGACAGATTTTTTTTGTTGTTCAAATTTTCATTGTGATTGGGGAATGGAAATACATTGAATAAAAGATAAAATTGTATTAGTAAAGCAGTGTACATCATTAGATATACCATAGTTCAGTGAAAATAGCACTTAGCTAAAAGAAACTTTTAGAAAGGGGGGGTACCTGGATAGCTCAGTCCATTAAATGTATGCCTTTGGCTCAGGTCATGATCCTGGAGCCCTGGGATCAAGCCCCATATCAGGATTTCTGCTCAGCAGGGAGCCTGTTTGTCCCTCTCCCTGGCGCTCTGCCTACCTGTGCACGCATGCGCGCGCGCGCAGCACACACACACACACACACACACACACACATATATGCTCTCTCTCTCTCTCTCCCCTCCTTGGTCAAATAAATAAAATCTTAAAAAAAAAAAACAACTTAGAAAAGGTTTAGGCCTTTTCGACCTTCACATTTGTCTTATTTCTGGGTGTCATGGTAGCCAATTTCCTGTTTCAACACTAAAGTTGTGTTTTATGTATATCGTATGTTGTGTGTGTGTGTTTTATGCTGATAGAGGCATTGTAAGCTGAATACCTAACTTAAATACTATTCAGTATACAGTGGATCATACTATGGTAGGAAGTACAGAACTATAACTTCTTGAAATTTATACTTCTGACTTTTCCCTTTAGTTTTCTTTAAATAAATCTAATTTATTTTTCTTTCAAGCGTATTTAATTAAAAATTATCTACTGTGATGCCATCTCTGCCATTGTAAGAGAACAAAGGATTGGGCTTCTATCCCGCAATCCTTGTCTGCCTTGTCAGCACAGGGCATTGGAGAAAGGAGAGAAAGATTTTTGTGTGTGTGTGGGATATATCATTCCTTACTTTTCAAGCCTAGTTAGCTATTAAATCATCACCTTCTTTATAAATTCATTTTTTAATCTTTTTTCAAGAATGTTATACATTCTTAATGATCCCCTAAAGAATTATACTTTTTGTATGAATATGACTTGAGCATATTACAATGTTACTAAGCTTTAGTGGTTACAAAGAAGTAAAGATGCTTACTTTTTGTTGTCTTAGGTATGCACTGGTAGACTTTGGTTTGGCCCAAGGAACCCATGATACGAAAATAGAGCTTCTCAAATTTGTCCAGTCTGAAGCTCAGCAGGAAAGCTGCTCACAAAATAAATCCCATGTAATCACAGGAAACAAGATTTCATTGAGTGGCCCAGCAGCACCTAAGGAGTTGGATCAGCAGCCCACCATGAAAACTTCTGTTAAAAGGCCCTACACAAATGCACAAACTCAGATTAAACAAGGAAAAGATGGAAAGGTTCTACCTCTTTTATTTCTTAAATACTAATATGGTCTTAGAAATGTACTGCTTCATCCAACAGAGGGAGATATAATACCAGGATGATGCTTGTAATTAAAAATTTTTTTTTACATTTGTTGCATATTAAATTGATTAGATTCCACTAAGATTTATAATGGATCATTTTACCATTTCAAAACTGAAAGTACTTGGTAGATTTATAACGTCTCTGTCATTACATAATGTGACAAATATGGAAAATAACAAATTCTCCCTGCATGTTATAAAGTTCAAAACAGTCGTTTGTCCTTTTTAAAAGAAAACATTAGTTATAGGAGAAAAATTCTGAAGTGTCTATCTCCATTTTAGCTGCACAGCAAAATTGTAACATCCATGCAGGTGGTTTTTAAATTTTTTAGTTATATATATTTGTGGATTCTGATAACATTGTATGGGTGTTAAGAGTTCTGTCTAGACTATTTTCTCCTTTCACAGAAGTGTTTTGGTGCCTAAGAATGACTTGGATGCAGCTGTTTTTGTTTCATGTCACTTAACTCTTTCAAAACTGGCAGAGTACAGCTGGCAGAAAGTGTTACAGATATAATCCTTATTTTCCTTGTTTTTGTTGGTATTGTAGGAGGGATCTGTAGGCCTTTCTGTCCAGCGCTCTGTTTTTGGAGAAAGAAATTTCAATATACACAGCTCCATTTCACATGAGAGCCCTGCAGTGAAAGTAAGTAATGTAGCTTAATAGTGCGATCATCAGTCAGTCGTACACTGAAGAGAATTTAGGGATTGGTAGTTGAGCATTTATTATCACTAAGTTTCTAAAAGTAGAGTTTTGCTGTGGCAGAAGGTATTAGTGCTTTGAGCATCTTATCAACACTTTTATTTTCTCCAGTTTTTTCCTGAACTTTTCTGGTGGAATTTTTCATCATTTTTGGTTAGCTAACTATTGTTGCTCTTTTCTAAAGGATCATTTAGAATATTAAAGTCTTTTCTCTCATTGGCTAGAATGCGAGCTCCTAATAATTAACACATTTCTGATACACAGTTGATAATGTAAAGATGTTTGTAAAGTTTACGAAATTGTAATCAATGTTAATTGGTTTTAAATTGACTTATATCCTATAACGGCTAGATAGCGTGAGCAACAAAATTCTGATTTTAGCCAATGTAATTGTGCAGTTTACAGTTCTGAAATGGAGTTAGACACTAGAACGTAACTATGTTATACTTTTGTAACATATCAGGAGAAGTTTTAATACAGTGTAAGTCAAGTATTTACCAATTGAGGACTATTTAGCAAATTTTAATATGCTTATTCAACAGAGAAACCTAAAAAGATCTTACATACTTTAATAGACACCTCTTCACTTAAAATCCAACAGCACATTCGGCAATTTTATGTTTGCCATACTAGCATTTGAAGACATCATATTAAACATCATGAAAATAGGAAATACGACTTTTCTTTTACAGCTTATGAAGCAGTCAAAGACTATGGATGTACTATCTAGAAAGTTAGCGACAAAAAAGAAGGCTATTTCTACAAAAGTTATGAATAGTGGTGTGATGAGGAAAACTGCCAGTTCTTGCCCAGCTAGCCTGACCTGTGACTGTTATGCAACAGATAAAGTTTGCAGTATTTGCCTTTCAAGGTAATGTGTTTTGATGGTGCTATAAAATCACCAGCATGCTGCCAGACAAGATTAGAAATTGCATTGATTTTGGTGGGCAGTTGATTTAGTGTAAGGAAAGGAACAACACAGACACTGATGTGGAGAGGTACCTTGAAGAGAAAATGATATCTGTTATATTGTTCATTTGACATTTATATGTTCTTTGAAAAACACATTTGCTCTTACATGCATAGAATTTTGGTGGAGGCAAGGATAGTTATTTTGGAACCTTAGAATTGCACATTTTTGATTGCTGATTTAATCTTCTGTTTTCTTTCCTTATCCCCACCTATGTAGAATAACCAGAACCAAATAGTGTCTCTCACTCCCACTTCCTACTCTGAGCCCCATAAATTCCTCCCTCTCTGAAAAGTTGCATGAGCTTTCATGAGCCTGTAACTCAAGTATGTAAGAGACTAAGTAGATCAGAAATTTTCTGATATCACTCCAAATAGAAATGAAGTTTTATAGCTCTGAATTCTATTGTATTAAATTCTGTTGTATTATGCTTTTCTGTTATGGTTATCATCTACTACCTATTTTTATACCTGGAAGTTACCTTAAAATTTTTCTGGAATAAGGCCTGGTAATTTGCAGGGTGTAGAGGGGAGGGACCAGTAGAAACAAAATCTAAGATTTTCATTACACTGGATTATCATTTGCTTTATAAATAACTATATAGATATCAAGGCAGAATTTACTGTGAAATCAATTAATGTTACTTTTTGGTCTTAAATAATTAAACTCTAATGTAACTAGAAAATCTTATTTCGTCATTATAAGGCGGCAACAGGTTGCCCCTAGGGCGGGTACACCAGGATTCAGAGCACCAGAAGTTTTGACAAAGTGCCCCAATCAAACTACAGGTATGTTGCACTAGAAATACAGAACCCAATTAGAATTGGTTATCCTAGGTATATTTTATTTTATGATCTTTGTTTTACTATTAAGGTTTTTGTGCTTTTAATAAATTATATAAGTCGTTCTAGCAGTAGAGAGGCCCATTTTTGAGATCATGCTATTAATGAAAATCTCTACTCCTACTGTAGCCTTTTTTTTTTTTTTTTTTTTTTTTGGTAAGAATTTTTTTCCTATAGATTACATCTTGCTTATCTATTTACAAGAAGATGTTTTCCAGGAATTTTGTTTGTGGAAGAAAAACAGTTTTTAGTAGTCTTTGCTAATTTAAGACTTGTAGCATTTTATCTGTTTGCCCAACACCCCAAAAGTCTTCTATGAGGCACATGATTGTGTGTTTGATTAAAATTATTTTTTGTTATTGTGAAAATAATACAGTAGCATTAAGGAGTTTTAAAAAAGGAAAAGTTTTATAATCTACAAAAGTTATCATGGAGCCAAAACCCAGGAAAAATTTCATTGAGTAAATGAATCCTGTCATTCACTTGGATTATGGACTTTAAAGAAATACATTAATCCACTGTGTATACTCAATACTTGCTAGTGATACAAAAAAATGAATGAAAGTATCTACTTACTCTCAAATAATAATAACCTGTTGAGGATGGTTATAAATCTTTATACAGGGTATTTTAGGGACACCTAACTATTCCTATCTGACGGGAATATGGAAGGAAGTTCACGGAAGAGGGAACCTCTGAGAAGAGAATGTAAACTGGAGTGGATGGTTGGCATTGATACATGAGCAGACGATCTCAAGAAACAGAATGGTCTAGTCATATAGGAAACAGTAAGTTTAGTGTTGCTAGAATGTAAGATGGAAGTGAAGGAATGGTGAGAAACCTGATAATAGATCAGATCCCACATGTTAAATAGCTTAGACTGTATCCTCTAAGTGTTGGGAAGTATTCAAGGGAGAGACATGGTAATAATTATGTTCTAATTGGATCATTCTGGTAGGTGTACAGAGAGGATAGATTTTGGAGAGTGGTGGCCTGCAGTGGTCCAGATGAGAGATGATGAAAGCCTGAATGAGGGCATCATTAACAAGAAAAAAGAAAGGTGAAGGATTGGAAAGGCAGAACCTGGTAGATAATTGGATATGGGATTTGGGTTTTGAGTGGTGAAAGAAAAGACATCCAGGATGTTTATCAGAGTTCTAGCTTAGGGGACTTGAATGGGTATCAGTGACTAAGGTGGAGAATAAGTAACTGGTTTACAAGGAAAGATAAGGTGGATTAGGGTATAAATTGGTCTGAGATACTTGTGGGACACCCAGATAGAGATGTTCAACAGAGTAAAAGTCAAGCTCAGGGAAGTTGGGGCTGGAGATACAGTTGAATGTCATCAGTACAGAAAAGATGGTTAAAGCCATAAGGTAGATGTAGTCAGTCAGGGAGAGTATACAGGGGAAGAAGAGATTGGAACTTTGGGGAACCTTAGCCTTAAGGCTTGGAAAGGCAGGTAATATATAATGGCCAAGGCAATAGAGAGCAAATAACTTGGTGATACTAGGAGGTCAACAATTAGAAGAGCTGTCCCTAAGAGAAATTTTCTTAACATGAGCCTGGGCGGGTCTTAATGTTAACTGCCAGAATTCTAGAGACTAAAGTTTCTATAGCAGAAGTCAGGGTTAGCACCTGGCTGAAGAAAAGCTTCTAATATTAATATTTTTCACTAAATATTAGTGAAACCACTTTCACTATGGTATGTAATTCTTGAGGAGCATCCAGATTTTTCCCACATAGCTATTTTTGGATTTCTTTTGATCTTCTAAAATATTTCTATTTATGGTTTTCTAATGATAAAATATCCTTTAAAGTTACTAACATGTTGCTTAAGGAAGAAGACATTGTATTCTGTATTAAAGATGTTGGACCAGTGTTTCTCAGTCCTGGTATCACACTGTATCTTCTGAGGAACTTAAGAAGTACGATGCCTGAGCTCTATTCCAGAACAATGAAATCAGAATCTCAGACAGTGGGCCTGGGCATCAGAATTTTTGTAAGGCTTAAGATAATTTGCACAGCAAAGGTTGAGAACTATGGATATAACATTGACTACTGGTGATAAAATTACAGGTTTGGGATTTTTTTTTTAAAGTTTGTTTTCTGTTACAGCAATTGACATGTGGTCTGCAGGTGTCATATTCCTTTCTTTGCTTAGTGGGCGATATCCATTTTATAAAGCAAGTGATGATTTAACTGCCTTGGCTCAAATTATGACAATTCGTGGATCCAGGGAAACTATCCAAGCTGCTAAAACTTTTGGTAAGCAGTTTTATATTCTAGAACAAAACAAATGCCTTTATTATCTCTATAAATCAAATTATGATGAAGTTCTCTTTACAAATAAACATATTCTGTGTTCATAAAATTCTCTGGTGTTAGATAGAAAATTTCTCTGATGCTCTAAAATTAATTGCATTGTGTAAGAAAATAATTTATCATCACTTCTATATAATCATTTAATTTTACCAAGCACAAAGTGCTATTTAAATATTTAAAGTTCAATTTTATAATCTTAAAAGAATAAGGGACTCCCTATAGTTATAATTTAACTTCATTACATAAATATTTTTTAATAGTATGTTTTGTTTATTGTATATTTATTAAGCATCAGGTGTTCTTGGGCCTGCCTTAAATGATCTTACTCTATACTGACAAGTAAACTGTTAATTATGATGCAGCATAATAAGGACTATAGTAGGGAAGATAATAAAATATGTGTTAGTTAGGTTTCCTTAGGGTAGGAAGGAAGAAAAATGAGGAGAACACCTTTGCTGATGGAGTTATTCTTGTAAGCATATGTTGGAAATCTTAGTTTCCAAAGTAGGTGCTTTCTTGTACCTACAATAAGAAAATTTTATCTGAGGTAATAGGGTGAAATAGTACATACATACAAAAATAAATGACCATAAGTAGAAGGCAAGATTGAGACTTTGGAAATTGTATTCTTACACGTTTATTCTCAACTGATAAGAAAACTTTTTATCTACTACTGAATAACGTGAGAATTTTATGAACATAAAATTTATCGGGCAGCCTCAGTGGCTCAGCAGTTTAGCGCCGCCTTCAGTCCAGGACGTGATCCTGGAGACCCGGGATCGTATCGAGTCCCATGTCAGACTCCCTGCATAGAGCCTGCTTCTCCCTCTGTCTCTCTCATGAATGAATGAATGAATGAATGAATAAATAAATAAATAAATAAATAAATAAATCTATCTTTAAAAAAAAAACACATCAGAGAACGAACACCAAAACATTTTGTTGAAGAGCTTAAATCTCCCCTTTCTGTAGTCAAAGTTTTAAATGAGGATCAACAATGGAAGCACAACATGTGACATGAAAACATCCCAGTGTGAATGTCACAATAGTAGGCAAGAGCTTTTAAAGACTTATCATTGTAATGCTTGTTCTCATCTTAGAAAAATAATAATGGCAGGTAGTACTTGTCTTAGTTTTATTAGTAGGACTTCTGCAGCTGTTTCAGTCCAATCTTACTATAACTTTGGGCTTAATACAGAGGGACTCAAAACTTCAGTAGTTATAGTTCTTTAAGACCCAAAGAAATGACTTGCTTCAGATTAACAGTGGGAGTGCTTTTACTTCTATTGTGTATAACCTGCTTCCCTATCCTTAATTCCTAGAGCTGACCCTGCTGTAGGTTGTCATCAAGTGCTTGTTGAGTTCTGTCACATTCAGAAGAAAAACCTTGAGCTAAATCAAATGCCTGACATGTAGTCTGTAACAAAATATATTTTTTAAAGATTTGAGAAAGAGAAAGTAGGGGAAGAGATAGAGGGAAAGAATTTCAAGCAGACTCCCCACTGAGCAGGGAGCCCCAAATGGGGATCAATCCCAGGACCCTGAGATTATGACCTGAGCTGAGGGCAGATGTTTAACTGACTGAGCCACTCAGATGCTCCCACATTTCTGTCTAAAGGAAATAAGGCCAAGATAATATAGTATTGCCTGTTTGTATGCTTATTTTTGCCCATGTCTGAAAATAATTCCGTCAGGAAATTGTTTCAGAGACATTTATATTTTTAAAAACTGAGCTCTGGTGTATTAAGTCATTCAGAAACATTTGTTGGGAGTTGATGTGGCCCAAGTACTAATATTGAGTCTGTTCTCACAGAGCTTAAATTCTAGTGGGGTAGACAAATCTGTCAGACAAGTGGTATTAAGATAAAAGGGGAAAGGAAGAGAAGAGGACTCACCTTATTTCAGAGGTTGGTCAAGGACACCATCTATAAGGATGTGATATCTGAACAATGACATGAGAGGCTGAGTAATGCTTTTTTTGTCCAGTCCAGCAGGCATTAATTAAGAGCCTACTGTGTACTAGACACTGTCCAGGCTTTGGTGGTTCAAATGTAAATGAAATAGTCCCTATCTTCAAAGAGCTCATAATGTAGGTGAAACAGACCTCCAGTTACAATACAGGCTAATGAAAGTAAAAAAATTTCATAGGTACAATAGAAGTTTAGAATGTTCAACTCTGTGAGAGTGTCGGGCTTCACAGATATAATTCTTAAGCTGAGTGATGATATAAGTTAGAGTATCCCAGGTGCAGGGGATCCTAGGCAAAATAGGAGCCACATAGCCAGAGGCATGTACAAGTATGGAAGGGGGAGAAGGAATGGGAGCTGCAGCTGATTACAGATTACAGAAAGACACTGTAAAGCTGAAGAAATTAGGCAGTCAGGTGAATCCCTTACATAGCTTAGTAAGTCACTGCTTTCTGCTTAGTACGTCCTACTTTTGATTTGGTCTTCAACTGTGTAGTACAAAACACAACTTAAATATTAGCATGTGGTGCTCTATCTCTATATAGTGTAAGTATATCCACAAAGTGTATGGTTGGACTTGCATGATTCTCATGAGAGACTTCTGATATTTTCAAATAATATTAAATACATGTGTTTTTTTCTTTTTCAGGCAAATCAATATTGTGTAGCAAAGAAGTCCCAGCACAAGACTTGAGAAAACTCTGTGAGAAGCTCAGAGGTATCGATTCTAACACTCCCCAATTAACAAGTGATACACAAGGGCCTGCTTCTCATGACCCAAGTTTTTCAGAGAAGACTGACCATAAAGCTTCTCACCTTATACAGACACCTCAAGCACTGCCCTCAGGGAATTCACTGTGTAAAGGGGACAGTAATGGCTGTGGGCGTGGTTTGAATATGGATACTGCCGATTTAGAAGGCTGGAATGAGGTACCTGATGAAGCTTATGACCTTCTTGATAAACTTCTAGATCTAAATCCAGCTTCAAGAATAACAGCAGAAGAGGCTTTGTTGCATCCTTTTTTTAAAGATATGAGCTTGTGATGATTGTTCTTAATATAATGTTTGCTGTTGTATATTATGAGACAGGTGAAAAAGAGTTCCTTATAAGAGCTATAACTTCTTGATTAGAGACCAGGGCAGGATAAATAATTTATTTTAAAATTTTAGTATTTGCTCTTTGGCAGATTCTAAAATATGGATTAAGATTAAAGACAGCTGGGATAGTTCTTTAGGCTAACTACATGATCGTTGAGTAAGATTTACCCAAGTACAAAAAAAAAAAAAAAAGATCTACCCAAGTAGAATCAGATCTTTCACTTCCCTAATTACTTGTCACTGCCATATGCAGAAAAAGCAACTGTTTTACCCTAGTATATAGGAATCTGAGGTGTAAGTCTTAAAATTAACAGATGTGATCAGGACTAAATGAGTCAAAAGAGTTATTTTATTGGTTCCTTTAAGTTATGGCTATGTGTACTTCTAGAAAACTCAACCCGGTGCTGATGCTCTAACCATTCTGTAGGTAAAGGAGATCATTTCCTCTTCTGGAGGCATATATTATACCTTTTATGAACACTAAAAGCAATTAATGAGAAAATGTTGGAGGTAGTATCACTTAAAATTGAATTTAATTTATCCTCAAAGTATTTTGTTAAAGCATTTTTGTGTGAATTGCCATGTTTTTCTTAATGGTTTCTCTCTTGATTTTTCCACTTTCTCCATCCCCACCTAACACATTCTCCTTGGAAATAATATGGTGCTTTCCACAGAGTTTCTGGGTACTTTGTTAAATATGCATGTGTTTACAGTTGGGAACTCACTGCGTACACTGGTTGATTAAAGGGAAGCTGCAGAACCAAGGTGAAGGCTGATAGTCCAAAATGCTTTTCTTTTTCTCACCATCTTAGGTGTAATTAGGTAGCTGCTAAAAGGGAAAGTAAATACAGCCTTGAGAATATTATTGGTTATTTTCTCCTCTGTGTTGAGTCATCATGATCTCTGCATCCTGTTATAAATAAGTTGGTCCTGCTCAAGGAAGATTGACTACTAGAGTCTTGGGTGCGTTGGAAAGAGAGATAAGTGCGCAAAGTAGAAGAGGACCAGAGATAGAGATTTATGTATTACTATATTCCAAAATGATACATATCAATGACAGTATATCAAATGCTCTCTGTGAGAAATAAGTCACGGGATATGGATCTGCTGAAAACTTTCCCATTTAGTAGGGATAGAGTATAGTGTAGAAACAGCTTAGGGGTCTAGAACATACATTCTTTTATTTTGTGCATTCAAGTAAGTATGTCACCTACCCTATTTGGTAAGTATAGTATATACAGAAACCATTGCCACAAATATGCTCTGTATTCTCATAATATAATCTTAAAAAAAAACTTGAATGTTCTTACATTTGTATGTTTAATAAAGTTATTTTATATTTTTTATGTCCAGCTACTCATTTGAAAAATACCCTTTTAAGAAAAAGTATTGATCACTGGAAATATTTTCCTTCTGAGTTTGAGGAGTGCTCTCTCCAGCAAATAGTAGGCAGTAGATAAACAAAAATTGACCTGGCTCAACTAATATATGAAAGATGGAGGTTGATTTCTTTTATAGAAAAGGTGCTCATTGACCTCATTTATAGGAAAATTGCAACAAATAGTAAAGCAGTAACTCATCTCAGTAATCAGAAGTATTTACTTAACTAAAAAAATTTCATGGTGTGATTTCACAATCAAGTTAACAAATTCTAAGAAAATTAATAGGAAGAAAACTTTTTTTTTTTTTTTTGGAAGAAAAATTTAACTACCAAAAGTAGAGGGCAGGAGACATTCTCTAAGAAAGTTTAGTGTTCGGGGTGGTTGTTTGAACTTTTTATTAATATCACTGTTAGAACAGAACTTGGCTGATACGCAAGGGGAGGAGGGAGGTAAAAGGAGCCCATGTTTTAAAAGATATTCAGGGTTGTAAATTAGTTCTCAGGGAATTTCGATCTCACTAAAGAATGTTGAGTCAGTGTTGGGTGCTATATAGATAGAAATTAGCAAGAAGCTTCCATAGGCATATTCTTTAAGTCTTTCAGCCTTCTAAACACCATTTTTTAATGGCAGATATTGCCCTAAAATTTTTTAATTAGTTAAAAAAGTCATTTTTAGGGAAAGATTAAGAAGGTAACTAGTTAATGCCATTTCCTATTATTATGGAAGTTCCCAGAATATTCAGCTATTTTTCATTGTCAGCTTTTTAAAATTCTTATTGCTCAGACTCTTGAGATAAAACTGTTAAGGGTGTTTTCATTTAATAAGCCTTAGACATTTAGAACTATTAATATAACAAGCTACAAGTATTGGTTTTTGAAACAGGCTGCAGCTCTGTAGCATTTTTAATGAAACTTTTCCTTATATGGAGATGATTATGGTTGTCTTAATGACCTAAATAAAAATGTGGCTCAAGAATGATTATTCCAAAGAATTAAACTTAATTTGTCTCAAAATCTGAACGAAAGTCATCAAGTGATGTTAATCTCTTGTTTCTGGCATCAGCATTTTAGGGACAAAATGGTGTTACAGATGTCAGAATATCGATTGCATAAAGTCTTGAAACCCACAAGACATGTAGGCTTAGGTCTTAGTAATTTCTGCTGTTTATGTAATTTCAGCCCTGCGCGTCACTGAAAAGTTATTTATATTAAGAAACTGTGGCCAAATTTGGCGGGTAATGCTGTCTGCCAGTGTCTGCAGATGTATTGTTTCCGCCTACATTGTGCGTGCTGTCCGTGGTCTTTAAAGAACACTACCTAACACAAGGCAGAAATGTCAACTCCCCATTCAGATTTTTTCCTTTGTTCTTAGAACTGAGGTTGCCATTTCCTAATTTTGTCAAATTTTGTGTTTGAACTGTCTTCTTTCTTGAAAGGGGGATATTATCACCCATGTAGTAGATAAGTAATCAGAAGTACTTAATGCTGTGTCAAATTACAGTAACGTTTTCAACAAAGTAACCACAAAGGTCAGTGCTAAGGCAAGTATTTACTAAATAATGACATTTTAGATATCTGAAATGAAAAGGCTGTGATCTTAGGAAAGCAGTTACAGGTTGGGTGAGAAGATTATAAAAATGAAGTCAGAAAAGTGATAGCAAAATAGTTTAAGCTTGATGTGACCTGCTAAAGTTTTTTCTTCAGTAGAAGAAAATCAATTAAAGAATAAAGTTGCCTTTGACCACTGTTTTGAATCCTTTAAAAAATTAACAAAATAATGTCTGGAAAAGAATTCAAAAGGATAAGCAAAAATGTTATGGGGTGAGTGTGTACATAGCTTTTGCAAGGCAAGGAAGATGACTAGAAAAAGTTGTAAATGGTTTAGAGTTCTGATTTAAACATGCATCATGGGCAAAATGCCCTTTCAAATTTAATACACCATCCCAGCCCTTAAGTGGATTCCACCTTAGACCCTACTGAAGCAATTCTTTGAGGAAAGTAACAGGGTTAGCACTAATTTTAATACCATCATATAAAGGAAAATAGAGAATAACTTCTAGATTCATCTCAGTCTAGATTTAGAGAAGGCAAGTATCACTCCCTCTAGTAGGAAACCAAGATGAATCAAGGGATGGGCTTTAGAGATCCTGAAATCAGTAATAACATGTCAGCTGGGGAATGAGTTTCACAGATCAGAAAATGGAAATGCCACTTGATTATTTTTTAAGACTTATTTTAGAGAGATGCCTGGGTGGCTCAGTGGTTGAGTATCTGCCTTCAGCTTGGTGTGATCCCAGGTCCTGGGATCGAGTGTGACATCGGACTCCCCGCTGAGAGCCTGCTTCTCCCTCTGCCTCTGTCTCTGCTTCTCTGTATCTCCCATGAGTAAATAAATAAAATCTTAAAAAAAAAATTATTTTAGCATATGTGAGGGGGTGGCAGAAAGATAGAAACCCAAGCAGACTCCATGCTGAGCCCAGAGCCCAACGTGGGGCTCCATGTCACTATCCTGAGAACATGATCTGAGCCAAAATAACAGTCACTCAGCCGACTGGGCCATCCAGGTCCCCATCACCTGATAATTTCTTTTTAACCAGAATTTGTATATGTATTCCTTACCTACATTCTACTGATGATGTGTTTTTATAGGTGTATATTTAAGTATGTATTCATCCTTTGTATAAATACCTTCTCTAACTTCTCTGAAGACTAGAAATGGCTCCAACCCGTACAAGACTAAGTAAATCAGAAGCAGATATATGGCTGTGTAGCCTCGCTTTGTTATTTTAGCTCTGTCCATAAGCAAAAGGAGCAGGGTGGTGGGGATTCCAGCCACCTCCAAATTTTTCTAACTGCCTTAATGCTTTTTACGCAGAAGTTGCTTTATTTCTTGTGGCATGTTGCTGAATTATATTCAGCACTCAATAGTCTGATTAAAAACAAAACCAGCCCCACTGTATCTATATATATGAGTACTCTTTAGACAAGTACTAGCAATGCATCTTTACACTTTCCCCCCAAGGTTTGTGAAATGAATGCCTGGTGTTGTGAGTGTCCTGTCATTTTAATTTCTTATTTTGAAACCCCACAGATAAATGGCCATATGAAATGGGTACTCCTCATAAAATCAAAACTTGTCAATTTTATGTCTAAAAATAAACAGCATCTTGCATCTGTTTGTTGTGTGTGAGGAACCATCTTTCTTATTTGTTCCTATGTTGTGTGACAAGCAAGCCTGGCATTTACAGAGCAGAGCAAGTGCTCAATAAATATTTGCTAAGTGAATACATTTAAGTCACATTTAATTAATTTGCCTTTCTGGCAAGATACTAAGCCAAAAACCTCTCTTATAAGGTTGCCTCTTCTCCTTAGTTTGTTACAATTTATTTGGTAGGGAGTGACATAAAAATGAAATGCCTTCCTTTTTACATATCTCTTTTGAATAGACTGTGCCCACCCCCAAAAAATATGTAATTTAAATGAAAGCAATATTTTGACGTCAAGCTGTAGGTTCAAAAGAGCCCTAAAGAGTTCTTTGGCTTTGAGTTGCCGTAACCTGTGCTTCCTCTCCCTCTCTGCATATCCCAAATGTGTTCTTAATAGGCAGTCAGAAGTCACATTCCTCCTTCTGCCAAACCTTTCCTCATCAGTCTAATTCAAATGACCATTTTCTTGATTTCCTGTACTCAGACTATAAATTTCTGAAAGGTACAGACTGTTTTATGTCCTCCGACATTTCTTAGAGAATCAAGTACGGTGTCAAAACTAAGGGGCTGACTGGGACACCAGGAGGAATCTCCAAACCCCACCAGGACAATCTTAGCCTAAGAACAGCCCCATTTATTCTTTTTAAAATATTTATTTGAGGAAGAGAAAGAGAGCATGAGCAACGGGAGGGGGAGAAACTTCCCTCTGAATGCAGAGCCCGAGATGGGACTAGATCCCAGGACTCCAAAGATCATGTCCTGAGCTGAAATCAAGAGTCGGATGCTTAACCAACTGGGCCACCCAGGTGCCCCAACCCCTTTTATTCTTAAACATCTGCAGGATCATGCTGTTTTCCCTCTCCTAATTTCCCAAAACTCCACCCCATCCTAGCCATGTCAGTTCTAATTTCCCTCCACTCCATTTTGCTGGTGTACCATTCCCATTGCTTTGACCGCAGTGGAGACAGAACAGCTGTGACATTCTGTCTATAATAACCTTTCACTTCCTTCTATAAGAGGCAAGTGAGCAAAAATTTCATAATTATTACAGTTGTGTTTTTACCTCCTACAATGTACCAGGCGCCATAACAATCAAATCAATTTGTTTTAAGGACTTGTAAGTATGCATAAAGTACTATGGGAAAGCATTATATACACACTTGATTATACTTTGCTAAAGCGATTCATTTTCATACACATAGAACCCTGTTCATCTCAGATTTTCCTGAGACCGCTTCAGGTCCAAAAATGTTAGTTCTTGATGTGTTCTGTGAATTTCAAAATTTCTGCATCCAAATTGCATTTTTAAGAATGTCTCTCAACTAAGTAGTGTGAAATTGTTAGAAATGTGTTCTAGTTCTTTAGCTTCAAAAATATGTCCGCTATAATGTGGCATTTAAGGCTCTCCTGCTTTGTGAACCATCTGATGCATATATTATTGAGTAAAATGGACAGTCTTCCAATGTTTTTTAAACACCATATGGGGCCTTAAATATTTTCATTGAGGTTAACAAGCATAGATGTAACAACTGGGGAACCAATGCCCCTTTACTCATCTGTTACCAATTAAAAATAAATCATGTCTGGAGGCAGCATAACAGAGGAGTCAGCCAAGGCTGGCTCTTCCCTGTACTTTGAGCCTTGCTTTGCTTAGCTATAAAATGGGGTTTATATACCTACCTCATGGTTTAGAGGAATGAATGAGAACATACTCCCTAAGTGTAATGTTGACACAGTACGTAATTGTTTCCCTTCCCTC